AACTTTGGAATGAATGTTAGTTGCTGTGAAATACACGCGCTGTCCATTCTCCAGATGCACTGCCAAATGAACCACGGTTGGATATCTCTCATGAATGGGAAAAGAAAAGATGCGCCATATGGCTTCATTGCTGCTTATGTATCGTCCAATTTGGTATTGTTTAATCTCGTCAATCGGAGCTAAAGGATCTTTCATACCAAAAGCTGCCATATCGCTTCCTTTGTTGATATACTTGCAAATATATTTTATCGATTTCACGGAGTTGCAATATTCGACATTGATATGAGCTTTGAATATTTTTGAGAGTATAGGGGAATACGGTACGATCCATCTGTTGTCGACTTCGATATCGCTGCTACGCACCTTCAATGTGAAAGTTTTCCCGCCGTCTTCCGCTGAGCGTCGACGACACAAGGGATAGCCATCATTTCCAGTCATAGTCTCTGCGAGTAGTTCCCTCGGATACCGTTTGGTGCAGAACCCATCCTTCATGCGAGGAGACTTGGTGTTGAAAACACCGCAAGGACCATGAACCATATTTTTGATGACTACTTCGAATAATTCAGGGTCTGTGTGTTTATCGGGAATCTCAGCTGAAATAACTTGATCAATTTTATCAGGTGTTATTTCGCTGATCAACCATATCAATATATGCGCGTGTGGCAATCCTCTTTTCTGCCATTCGATTGAATACATCCAACAGCGAGTTTCCCCGAAAACCCGCATCTTTACAATCAAATCCATGAAAGCTCTCAGTTTCTGTTTGAAGACTCGCGCGATCGAATCGTGCCGATCTGAGGCTGATTGCCCAGATGAGAGATGAACTTTGATTTCCTCCCAAGCTGGATTGCATGTAATCGTGATGAATAAATCGGGGCGACCGTAATTGCGAACATACGTCATTGCGTCCTGCGAATACTCATGCATATGGCGAGGACTCCCCATGAAAGTTGCCGGCAGTATCACCATCTTCGTAAGATGATTGGGATCAATATGGCCATCAGAGGCAATCGCATCTCGTAAATGAACATATTCCTCTGACCGTAGCTTGGTTTGATTCAATCGAATGAACAGGAGTCTTTCGGTTTCGATTTTCGCATACATATCAACAATATACTGATGAAATAATTGTCGGCAAAGCAGGATATGATTCTCTGCGTTATCGCGTATCATTATCCGGTATGAGTGGTAATTCATGGCACTGACCTTCTTACTGGTCTCTTCATCCGTTCCTGGATTTCTCATTCTCAGATTGAAATGATAACCATCTTCGCCTTGCCAGAATAAAAGCGGATGCTGCAAAGCATGGGTTTCCGAAACTCTCTTAAGACAGCCGTCTCTGCGACGAAGGACTATGTCTCGTGAGTTGAATTCTTCACCAACAATGACGATAGCCACTTCATCCGATGTTGGCGCATTGAATCGCCCTGCGTGTTCTCCTGGCGTCTTATCAGCTTTGATAACAACCACATAGTCATCTGTCGGCATGAGCTCAAGAGAAGATCTGAACACTCGTACTAATTCGTTGTGCCGATGCAGCGTGTCCTGTAAATCTGCAACAATCTCACGGATTGTTCCACTGTTGACACGACGCCTCTGATCGATTTGCTCGTTTGTCTAAGCCAGCGGTTCTCAACCTGGGTTCCGCGGAACCCTGGGGTCCCGCGAGCCCCTGCTCGGCTGCTCAGACTTTTATTAATTTTATCGGATTGGAATGATTTTTTCTGTAGCTCTAATGCATGCAGGATACTTCATGCGATCGTGGTCGAAGGTTTTGAGGTGATTAAGGGGAAAATTTGGAAAGATAGAGTACCGAAACCAATAATAAGGTTTCCGCGGAACCCCACAGGGGTTCCGCGGGGCAAAAAAGGTTGAGAACCCCTGGTCTAAGCTATCGAGGCCTCCTTTTAGCTAAGACATCGGATATCCCGACTGAGCTGGACTCATCACAAACCTTAAGAGCACCTACGGCACCGACAGCTAATGTCTTCGCAAAGGAGCGAGATCAGAGATTATTCCGAAGTCCGATTCCGATCGAATTCATGGAATGTCATCAAAAATAACGATGTTAAACGAAAGAGCGCGAAAAGAAAGAAAGAAACGAAAATGACGAAACTCCCCCAAGAGGCAATTTGAAACACGAAGTGACTGAATGACGGAAAAGGGGTCCGTTCTTCTCGGATCTGATAGGCTTAAAACCTTCCCAGGTACTACGTGCCTCGTCACGACAAATTTCAAGACTGAGTTACCTTTAGTTTCCAAGAATAGGCGACCATGACAGACAAGTGGACATTCAATTTTATATATATAGATACCTCACAGCCAAGGCACCTTCTCCCAAGGCAGAATCGCAAAGGCCGGAAATCGCAGAATCCAGGGTCGCAGAAGCCGGAATTCCTATGAGCCAGGATTCTTAGAACCCAAAAATCTCAGAAGCCAGAAATTTCAGGAGCCAGAGTCGCGGGAGCAAGAATTCCCATGAGCCAGAGATTTCAAAAGCCGGGAGGCTGCAGGATTGGTTGAACGGTGCTTGGAATTTCGCCGCAACGATGCGAAGCTCGGCTCGACTCGCGGGCGGGATTATCATTCTGACATCTTCAGGGTGTCCATGACGGCAAGGTAGCGGGCGTGCGCGAAACAAAGCTGGTGATAGAATTGCTCCGGAGCATCAGATTTTTGCAGATCTCTTCCCAACCTTCGCATCACTGTAGCGGCGTCCGTGGTGAGACCGCTGTCATCTGCGATGTCTGAATCAAGGTCGGCAAGAGTTTTCAGGCGAATCTCCTGGTGGTTCGCCGCGGTTGCGCGATCCGAAAACCTCGGGAGGAGTTCCGCGGATTATCGCCACGCCAAAATCCGGAATTTCGCAAGAGTTGCGTTACACCTGGATGAAGTAAACTTCGTTGGACTTGGAATCTCTCAAGTTTTGAGGGATTCTCCAGCTGATCGCTCGCAACCTCACAGCCAAGGCACCGTCTCACAAGCCCGAATCGCAGAAGCCGGAAATCGCAGAAGCCAGAGTCGCAGAAGCCGGAATTCCTATGAGCCAGGATTCTTAGAATCCCAAAATCTCAGAAGCCATTCAGGAGCCAGAGTCGCAGAAGCCAGAATTCCCATGAGCCAGAGATTCCAGAAGCCGGAAGGCTGCAAGATTGGTTGATGGTTGGCTGGAATTTGGCCGCAACGATGCGAAGCCCGGCCCGACTCGCGGGCGGGATTCTTATGTAATAGTCTTTGATCAATCTTCAAGCTGAGAGGAAGAAAGAACACAACGATTCGGTTCAACGGATGCTTCGCATTCCTTCCCTGTTCACAGAGGGGATCTCAGATCATTGGAGTCATATTTTTTCATTTCCAGATCTTAAAACTAGAAGCGACGTTGAAAACGTATTCCATCAGGGTCTTTGCTCCGGTTTCTTGCTCATTCGTCAGTCGTATCTGGCGGTCGTTCAAGATTCTGTATTTGGTGGACAGCTCCGGAGACGGCTGCCCGGCGCGGAGCAGAAGCCGGTCTGCCCTGCTTTCATCTTCTTCGTACTTCAATGTGTTGATCAGCTCGAACAAAACATGCTCCTCCCGAATTGACCTATTCAAGGCGTGCCATGCTTCCACATGGTTGGTCTTCAGTCCTCACTCCCGTCGAGCTCATTCGGGATGCCACAAACTTTGGAAGACTCTCGGATGAGTTCTGTAGGGATAGACGACCAAGCTTCGACGATCCATTGCAAGTAAACGTCCATTGGCGGGACTCGGAGATTCCCTCGTGCTTTATGAGTTTTCGTTCCATGCAGGAGCCAGTCTTCATTTAACACGTCCAACCTTTGCTTGAGTGGCTCATTCCATGACACATCCGGCGCTTGCACGTATTTCGTGCAGCCGCCCGGAACGACAGCATTGTCCAGGCGGAATTTCTTGAGCTCGGGTTTGATTTCCCTCGATAAGTGAACTCGGAAGGCGTCCCATACCAAAAGTCGATCAGAGAATGAGAATATACAGATAACACCTTCGAGGAACTCCAGTGTGAGCCCGTCGTTCAAACAGTTTAATACACACCAGCTCAGAATCAGCTCGTTTTCGAATCTCTTTTCGACATCCGGTACCAGGCGTTTCCGTTGAAGACAAACAAAGGGCAAACATTTCGTTCTGTGAGCTCTCGCACATAGCATGACTGTAATTCGTGGTTCCTAGTGGCCGGTTGATTGTAAATAAACTTATTCCGCGCCTCTGTGTGTGACACAAGTTCTTCCGACAGGATCTATCCGTACGGCCGTTTCATCCGCAGCAAATATCCCAGACAGCGGGTATCCCTTCTGGAGTCGCATGCGGCGTATGAACATGACGAAGTCGGCCAGTGCCGATGTCACTTCGATTGGAGGTTCTTGGCACTACGTTGTAACCCTTCTCAAGGAAAGTTTCCTGCGTTGCATAAACCTCTCGAGCCAACAGCGGCTCGCCTGAAACTCATTCGCTTTCAACTTGCCTTGCCCAACCAGTTTCGTAGCACGTCTCCTCGCTTCGAGCCATATCAGTCTACTTGAGATTCCTTGCCGGGAGGCTCAGCTATCTTCGATTCAACACGAGGCAGCGTCATTTAAAGGGGAACACTCTATTAGAGAGGGGCTACTATCGGAAGGGGGCTGCTATCGGAGGATCTACGGTACGTCCCCGAGGAGCGACGTTCTTTTGGAACGATGGCACGATGTGTTCTAGGTTTTGGCGCCCGTTCCTGAGGAACGGCACGGAGAGACTATGAATGAATCATGAAGTTGTCTCGTGATACGGAGCTGATAACGAACGGATGAGCCCGCGAGACGGATGATGGACATTCAAGGACATGATTGACAGCCAGGACATAGCTGGGACTTCCGAGCATTTCTCGCTCTCGTAACTGAACGGAACAAGGTCCAGGATGGAAGCCTTGAACTCCGGTCTCGTCATTCTCGATTCGACGCATACCCGCATATGTATTTTTTTGGATTGGTGAATTATCGTGTGCTTGATTTCCATCGAGACTCAATCACCCGGGTCGATGACCGACGAGCGACGAGTCGGCGCCAGACGATTCAGCGCGGAGGAGATGGATCCACCCAGTAGCGAATGCTTCCGGGATTCGTCCTCGAGAGAAATGCCTAATAGGCACATTAGACTTCGGCTGTCTGATTGAGCGCGGAAAATATACAAACTAATCATATGGCTTCGCGAAGTTTCCGGAGCCAGTTTGAGCATGCGCTACGTATCTCGAATCACAGGTTGATAACATCGTTGTTGATGCGAGACGTTATTGATGTTGGGTGGTCCCAGCTAACGTCCCACTGTGGTATTTCAAGGAAGCATAGGGCTTAGCAAGTCTGAACGCTCGCGTTTCGCGCCATGCCCAGGGTGAAGCCAAATGCGGAAGACCTTGTCAACGAATTCGGTAGCGAAATTTTCGTCCACGAAGGTAGCTCTACAACATATTGTAGGATTTGTTCTAGATCATTTGAAAATGCTCGGAGGTTCACTCTGAATCAGCATCTGAGAACAGACAAACATGCCAAATGTCTACAGCTCAGTCAAGCCTGTTAGAATCGCGCGCTATCAAGCCTTTCTGGGAGCCAGTCCGGAGGACTTGCCAGACGGGGGATCATCGCGACCGCTTTATGTGAAGAATTCGTGAAAGCAGGCATCCCTTCGAGAAGCTTCAAGAGAAACACTTGAAAGATTTCATCGAAAGCTGGTGTGGACAACTAGCCTCGACGCCAACAAGCCTTCGAGTCAATTACGTGCAGCCGTTGTACGAGAAAACTCTCGATCGAATTTGAGACGCCATCCAAGTCAACCCGATATGGGTCTCGATCGATGAGACCACCGAACTACTGTTCTCCAGCTAATTGATTCTCATAATTACTGGATATCTTCGTATAATGGTACTTCGGCCAAGATTGATACTATTTATATCGACTCTCGGGCAGCATTCGACGTTGTTATCCATAGGTTGCTCATCTCGAAGCTTCCCTCTTTTGGCCTCTCCGGTCGACTCTGTGATTGGTTTGTGAGTTTCTCCCATGACTGCTCTGCCATTGTTAGAATTGATTCCTCCTTCTCCCGACCGTACCACTGTTCGTCAGGTGTAGCTCAGGGCAGTGTCATTGGACCTCTCCCATACCTGCTGTTCACAAACGACCTTCCATACGAAATTGTGTATGGTGTCCAGTACCGCACCTTCGCTGAGGACACCAAGATCTTCGCTGACATCTCTAAGCCGGAAGCGCGTGATGCGCTCCAATCATCCCTGTCCAACATCGGACGCTGGGCTCTTCGTTGGAAGCTCTCGATCTCTTCCTCGAAATCTTCTGCCATCCATATACTCCACGATGAGCCTTTCACGTACATGTTCCTCGATGAGGCTATCCCAAGGAACTGCCAGGTCAGGGACCTCGGAGTTGTATTCTGTTCTGACCTCAAACCCGAGAGACATGTCCATATGGCTATCGCAAGAGCGGGCAGAACAGCTAATTGTGTGCTCAGAGCCTTCGATTGTAAAATTCCGGAGGTCTACCTCCGCGCCTTTGAGGCACTGGTTCTGCCTTCTCTCCTCTATGGTTCTGAATTCTGGCGACCCTGGCTCTAGGGCTCCGTGGCAGCTCTTGATCTGAGCTTGATCTGTGCTCCCTCCCCCCAATTGGCGACATCCTCGATGATAGGGACCTGAGGCTCGCTCATTCAATTCTACGTCTTCAATTTCTGAGAGGCTTCTTCATTACCTGCCCCACCAACACTCGCTCTAGACGGTTATCCGTCACCCCCAGAGCCCGCAATAATACTGTATTCAATAGCTTCCGCTGGAGACTTTCCAAGCGCTTCAATGATCTCAGCCTGCCATGGCCCCTCTGTATCCCACCGGATGATCAAATAAATGCCGTGTATTACCAAAATAATAACCCGCTGGGGCACCTAGATTGAGGCTGCAAACCACTGCGCAGAAAACTTCGAAGCCTTGCGGTCATTCATACGCAGCAAACTAGATGCCTCTCAAGCCAATTCAATCAGAGAAGCCAAAAAAAATTTCGGCATGCCGCTCGCGGACGCTGTGAAAATAATTGAAGACTACGAAAACGGAATCCAGAACATCAGAAGAAGGACCCCTAGTCGCTGTCCGTGAGAAGTTTACCCAGGTCTTCGAGCGCAACCCTGGTTTTACTAAGATGTGCGTGATCGCGCGAATCCTGCGGTGGACCCATTGAGGGTCTCGACGTGAAGGATATCTCCGCATTCAAATTTGCCCCAGTCGTCTCCTGTGAGGTAGAACGCTCATTTCCGAGGTACAAAGCATTCCTACGAGACAACCGAAGAAGTTTCAAGTTCAAAAATACGAAGAAGTACATTGTTTCCATGTGCAATGAATCGGTGATAAAAGTGTTTCTTTCCGGACTGAGTTGGATATTTTCATGCATATTATTGCGCATAATATGCTTATCTTCGTGCATGCAATTTCGGGCCCTAATGATCACGAATGATCAAGTTACATTCGCTCTCCAGCTCTGACCGTGAAGGCAGGGTGGGCGAAAAGGTCTCACCGTTCGCCGGCGAACGAGACGGGAGAACCCCCCTCCGGTCAGACAGGTTGGAGAGTGGTTTCTCCGGACGCGACAGGAAACGTCGGCGTAACAGAAGCGACAGGTACGCGATCGATAGCGAAGCTCTCTTCTTCCGAGAGAGTCCGACCGAGAGCGTCCGCGGAGACTCGAGAAGTAGCCGGTCCGAGAACCCCCAGTCTTTTCTCCTGTCGCTAGTAATTTTTAAGTTTCTCTGACTTGAGAAGGGATCCGTAACAGTTGTCGTGTGCCAATATAGATGTCAGTGGTTGAGAAAGTATTTTATACGGAAACGCGCTTCCTTTTATATGGGAAGCAAAACACTTCGTCATAACGCGCGAATACACTACATTTCTCCCTCCCTAGCGTCATGTCCCAGCAAACGGCGGAAAACCGCCAGCGCCCCGTAGTCCGTGGGCTTTTTGGCTCAAGGAGGGGGCTGGACCCTTTGTGTTACCTGAAGGGTCGGCGGGCCGAGAGAAGGGTTGGAAACTTCGGGTGACGGGCGACGAAGAACGATGACTTCGGTTGGAGCAGCAGGAACGATGACTTCGGTTGGAGCAGCAGGAACGATGACTTCGGTTGGGGCAGCGGCCAGGGATGGCAACAAATCTTCGGCTTCCTGTCCGGTAGCGCCGGGTGAATCGATGGTTACTTTTCCATATTTGATTGAGGTGCATGCCGTGTGAGGTATTGCCCGTCAACGATTACCCGCGCGAGAGCTTTCCCGACCGGGCAGTGGAATTCGGCCGGAACCCTCCGCTTCTTGTCCAAAACAACGCTACAACAACCACTCGTTCCCCCTCCGAAAAGGAACGGGCCTTGACTCCACCATGCCTGTCGAAGTCCTGCTTGTACTTTGAATCCTCCACAGAATAGACGCCTCGCGACCTGAATACAGCGAACGGCGACCGTGTTTTTGGTAATACAGTGAAACCTGAGGTAAAGACCACCTGTATAATAAGACCACCTGAATTATCAGACCACTTCGACCGGGCACCGATCGTTCCGGCCATAGAACCCTATGTATTCCCGACGTGCATTAAGACCAACCTGAGTTACGAGACCAAAGACCACCCCTTTCGGGAACCAAACTCGCACATCACCTGTGCTATCAGACCAATTTTCTCTCAACCATCCCTCCCGGTCAATGAATGCTGATTGTTGGAGTTGAAGCTGATGCGTTCGGGTATAAGAAGAAGAGATCCACGTATAAGCACTAGCTCCCGACACTCCCGGCGCCGGCATCGACGTTGCGCCAAGACGTACGCGGGCACATTCGACATTTGCATGCACGCGTCGCTCGACTGGCCCGGATTCGAATGGCGCTGTCGCATGGTATCAGGTGTATTCGCTCAACATCGAATGAGAATGCTCTAGTGGACCTTCTGACGCATTTGTGACGTTGAATACTGGAATTTCACGGTGTTGGAAGATGGGGAAGGCCCGCTGCGAGCTCCCGTACAGCGCAAAATTGAAGTGATGAACGAGCTGCGACGAGGCTTCAGCAAGAGGGAAGTCGCCTCGAGATTTTCGGTAAGCAAAACTCAAATTCATGGCATTGCCAGGAACCAGGATACTCTGCTCGAAGAATGGGCGAGTTTTTCCTCCGGGAAGAGCAGGAGACGACGTCAGATGCCAAAGCACAAAGACTTAGATGAGCACGTCATGGATTGGTTCAGAAGAGTAACCGAGAAACGTATCCCGGTTAGTGGGATGATGCTCAAGGAAAAGGCAAAACTCTTCGCGCTCGAAGCTGGCCTCGAAACATTCTCCGCAAGCAATGGTTGGCTTGAAAGCTTCCGGAGAAGACACAACATTGTCTTCAAGACTCTCTGTGGTGAGGGAGGAGGCGTTGATGGAGGCGTTGTCAGTGATTGGACTCGGAGGCTGCCCGAGCTAATTAAAGAATACGGAGCCAAGGACATATTCAACATGGACGAGACCGGGTTGTTTTTTAGGGCACTTCCTAACAAATCACTGATCGAACGAGGTAAAGAGTTTCAAGGCGGCAAGATGGCGAAGGAGAGACTTTCTATCGCCTTATGTTGTAGTGCCACCGGGGAGAAGTTTCAACCCCTGGCCATATGGAAAGCTCTGAACCCTCGATGTTTTAAAGGACACGATGTGAAAAGGCTCGGTGTTTTCCGGGAGGCGAACGCTAAGGCTTGGATGACAACCAGCATTTTCGAGAGCTGGCTCTCGAAGTTTGATGCGCATATGGAACGGCAAAACAGAAGAGTTCTGCTCATGCTCGACAACGCACCGTGCCATGGACGTCGCTCTCTGAGTCACGTTAAGCTCCTCTTTCTTCCGCCCAATGTAACGAGTGAATTGCAACCACTAGACCAAGGCATCATTCAGGCGTTCAAACTGCAGCATCGGGGTCTGATGCTCGAATGGATCTTGTCAAAAATGGACAATTGTCAGACTGCTACTGAGCTTTCGAAGAAAATTAACGTCCTCGAGGCTATTCAGTGGGTTAGTCGAGCATGGAAGAGCGTTAAAGAAGAGACGATTGTGGGATGCTTCCGACGTTGCGGAATCAAAGATGATGCGGTTGATGACGAAGAGAATGTTCCGATAGATGACGACCCGTACAACGGCGACGAATTGCCTCGATTGTGCCTCGCGGTCGGCTTGGATGATCCTCATTTCGCGGAAGACTTGGACTGTTTCTCTGTCGCAGCAGATCCATGCCCCGAGGTCGAAGAATTGGAAACTTCGTTCCGTGAAGAAGAAGAGACCGTTGATGAGACGGTGAGAGATCCACCGACTGCAGACGCAGCTTTGCTTGCCGTGGAAACTCTGAAGTTGCTAGCTTTGTCGTCGGACGTATTTTCGGAGAGAACACAGAATGCCCTCTTCGATTGCGAAAAGCAAATACAGGACTACATCATCTCAGAGAAGCGAAAAAAGTTAGCGCCAGAGTTCCTTAGATGCTCACTTGTCGACGTCTGAGCGTCCGATTCAGGACTAAAAAATTCCCCGAGATCGTGGGAAATACAATAAATTGACTTTCGCATCCGAGAGTCTCGTCATGATTGTCTCTAACTCTGTCTGTTGGGTTCCCCTGCTTCGTATCTTCGCAGAGGAACGGGAAAAATGAGGTCTCAAAATGCGTAGCCTGTGTTGAGAGACCACCTGAGTTATCAGACCACTTTTCAGATTCCCCGCGGGTGGTCTTATTAGACAGGTTTCACTGTACACAGTTTATTTCACATATACTGGAGCAGAGTAGTAGAGCTAGGTTCGCCTCGTGTCGTTGAAGCGCTTGGGAAGACGCCACCGAAAGCTGTTGGCGACAAGATTATTACGGGCGCGAGTAACGACGAACAGCCGCCGAGAGCGCGTATCAGTCGAGCGCGTAACGGAGAAATTTCGTAGGCAATGGGAGCGCTGGATGGACGACGCGAGCTTGAGGTCCTTCTTATCTAGGATTTCAGAGATGGGTAGTAGCGAATCATAGTCGGGTTCGGTAGGACACTTGAAGGCGACTATATGATGAATTTACGTTGGAATCTCTCGAAGATAGCAAGGGACTTCTTAAGCCAGAGACGCCACGCCTCGGACCCGTAAAGGAGGGAGGGGAGGATGAGAGCATGGTAGGCTTTGAAGTATACAGCAGGGATTCTACAATTGAATGCTCTGAGTACAAAGTTTGCCGTTCTGCCGGCTCTTGCTACGGCCGTGAGGATATGCTTCTCAGGCTTGAGGTCGGACGTGAATGTGACACCGAGATCTTTAACATCCAGAACTTCGGGAATGGTTTCGCTGAGAAGAGTGTAACAATGTTGGTTATCATGGAGTAGGTGAAGGGTCGCAGATTCAGATGAGGAGATGAGGAGTTTCCAGCGTCAGGCCCAACGACCGATGTTGGAGAGAGTTTCGAAATCTTTCAAGTGTTTATTTCACCGAGGGTCGGTATGTACAGGGTGGGGCAGTATATTCTCCCCATTTCGTTTTGCTCATGGAATCCGAGCCATGAGGGCTAGCGAATTTCTGTTTGCGGCAAAATATTTAAGAGGACTCGCCCTCTCAGGAAAGAATCCATTTGGTCCGATATCTCCAAGCTGGAGAACAAGAATCAGCGGGAAAGCGAGGGAAACGGGTTTTCCCACAGAAATCAATACCGAGCTTCATGAGAATGACGTTAGATGAACTTCTAAAAGTCAACTTTGAACGTCCACCTGGTGAGGAGTGCCGGACCAGAGGATTTTTTCTCTGAAACTGCAAGCCCTCGTGGTCATTCTACTGCAAGCAGAATTCCGCTAGCCGCCTTGGTTCGTATCTCATGGGGATCATTCAAAATGGGGAATGTATACTGCCCCACCCTGTATCTTTAAAAATAACAAAAACAGTAATAACATGTATCGGGGCATGCTCCCATTCTTTTCCTCCGACGGGGTGAGAGGTGGGGGGTGCGTTCTGTCAGATGGGGTGTGAGCTGACTCCATCGATGCTGCTGAGAGTCTTTCTGTTCCGGCAGTGGAGCAGGTGGTATCGCCCTCCCGATTCTCCGCATAGTTTGCACACACAAGTCGCGGTTGGCTCGTGAGAGCTTGGCGTCGAGCAGGTGAGGTGGTGGAATCCGTGTGCTGCGAATCTTGTTGTCAGGTGGCGGTTTCGGTTGTGGCTTCCTTTCCATGATTCCGAGAGCATCGCGTTTGTTTGGAAAAAGTCCGGCTCGATTCCAGTCATTTTTCGACGGAACTCGTCAAGGTAGGACTCGAAATCGGCGGTCGTCGGTAGCTGGAAACGGTCTACAGTAAAAGCTCGTTATAACGACCCCCAATACAACGAATTTCTCGGTACAACGAACAAGGAATTTCTCCTGCTTTGGCCAGCTCGCCATACGGATAGTGTTGAGCGGCATTCGTTACAGCGCAAACTCGGTACAACGAACCAGTTGGTCAACCAGTCAGCTCGCTGGTACTCTGATGGCACCTAGGTGACGTCGATTTCTCCTCGTTCGTAATGATCTCTGATGAAGAAATATTTTAGTTCGATGTGCTTGGTACGTCGGTAGAACTGGGTATTTTTGATAAGCTTGATTGCAGCTTGATTGTCAATTTGGATGCTTAATTTTTCTGAGACACCCAGCTCGCTGAGTAGCTTGTTCATCCATTGGACAGACTTTAGCGTTTCAGCTGCGGCATAGAATTCTGATTCACATGAACTCTGAGCCACATTGCTTTGTCTAACACTTGACCAGACGACTGGTCCTGTTTGACGCATTATCAATGATCCTGTTGTCGATTTCCGATACTCTGTGTTCGAAGCATGATCTGCGTCCGAGAACACTAGAGTTTCTTCATTCGAATCACTTCGATAAGTGATTCCGAGAGAAGGGCATGATTTTAAAGATCGGAGAATTCTCTTGGCTGCTCCAAGGTGTTCTTGAGTACATTTGTCTAGATACCTGCTGAGGTATGCAGTGACAAAAGCCAGATCGATTCTTGTACATGAAGTAAAGTAAAGAATTGATCCGATGAGTTCTCGATAATTTTCATGAGTGGTTGTTCCGGTGTCCGCAATGTTGTAAATGGTCGGATCACTCGGCGTGGAGACTGGCTTGCAGTCTGACATGCTGAATCTTTTCAACAGCTCATGAACATACTTTGTTTGATGAATGTGGATATCGTTGTTATCGTTGGTTTCGATTTGCATGCCCAAGAAGTACGACAGAGGTTGAGATGTTATTTCGAGATCTTTCTTTAGAGATTCGATGAAATCCAAAGCGATCTTTTTGGATTTGCTCATGGTTATTCCGTCGTCCACATACACGCAAACGATCAGTCGCTCTGGACCGTTGCGATAGTATGTGCAGGGATCAGTCTTGCTTTGTGTGAGTCCCTTGTTTATCAGAATTCTTTTCAGGGTCTGATTGAATTCGAAGGGACTCTGTTTCAATCCGTAGACTGCTCGTAGGAGTTTCAGAACTTTGCCTGATCCATCATTTCTGCCTTCAGGCTGAAGAATGTAAATGTCATCGGACAGGTGAGCATTCAAGAATGCGGTTTTGACATCGAACTGGTGAAGGTACAATTTCTCCTTCGCCGCAATGCTCAACAATGTTCTGACTCCTTCAAAACGAGCTGTGGGACTGAAAATCTTATCGGCAGAATAATCAAGTCTCTCAGTTTGCTTGTATCCGCGGATCACCAATCTCGCGCGATATCTTCTTGTCCCATCTTGGGGATTGACCTTAAGTTTGAAGATCCATCTGGTGTCGATGGCTTTTCTGCCTGGGGGCAGATCAGTTGGAATCCATGCTTTTAATTGTTCCATGGAATTCAGTTCCTCTTGGATTGCAGCAATCCATTGAGACCTCTCTGGGCTCCTGAGAGCTTCTTTGTAACTTGTTGGTTCCGAATACCTTCCAGTGGGTGACTCAGCTCGAGCCACAAACACTGAAGAATTATTGTCGTCATCGGACACAGCATCAGAAATGGGCTCATCGTGGGACGATGATGGCCATGTTCCAGGTTCAAGAACATTCGCCCCAGCCATGTATCTATCAGGGCGTTTGAGTGTATTACGTGGTCTTAGCGTGCGAGTCGATGTGAGTGGGACGGCTTGTTCGCGGGACTCGTCACCACCTTCATGATTCTCAATTTCCTTGTCTCAAGGAAATTGGCTTTTTGTTTCTCAACTGGCACAAGCCTTGACACTTCTATGGTCTGCTCTAGACTAATTCATTCGCTACCCCCTCATGGGAAAACTTCGAAACCAATTGCACTCTCACACCATCAAGCACTTCATCACTCACATCTCTGATATCAATCGTCGAAGCTGAAGCTACTCGTAAAGAAAACGAAAAATACGATCGTAACCCGGATCCTAGAGCTCTATTTTCGAGAATGTCTCTTAAGTCCTCTCGTAGAAACAACAATCGCCCCACCCACAATCGCTCATTCAGACACTCCATTCGCTACACTCAAAACAGATACAAAAACCCCACCTACTCGAACTCTAGAAATCCAACTCGTGACCCGAATCAAAGATCCAATAGAACAAGCTGGAATCGAAACACTAATAACTCCTCCCATTCGTCTCCCCACACTCGTCGAAACACTCAACCCCAACGTCGACCCACTCGAGCGAATGCTCATCTCACGGAGATCTCTGAGGGTAGTCATTCGATCAACATGTGATAGTCTTGTATCCCATCAGTTGTATTTCAGGATTTGAGACAATGTCATCGGAAGAGAAATGCAGCGCCTTGAACCTCGTCTTTCCTGCTGAAAGTGATAACGATGTCCAACGTCAGCGAATCATTGAGAGTCTCCGCGTTCTGACTGCTTCCCACGAGTCGAGAAGACTCGTCACCAGTTTGACCGTATTCTACGAAGAGGCGAAAAGCACGAAGAAAGTCGGAAGAGTCCGGAGGGCTTGTACGTTACTGGAGGCGCATTATCATGCACTAGTTGGAACCTCCGGAGTAAGCTTGAAGAGCGTTTAAATGGCAAAGACTGGGCGTTACAACGGGCCGTTTTTTTTCACCCGTCTTCAAACGGATTCGGAGAATCGTTATTCTCTGCATGGAGCAGACCAATATTGAGCGCATCCGATAGAGCGTAAATTCGACTGTACTGTAGGACATCGAGGAGGGTGCTAACCTGGGGAGGATACATGCCAACCCTTCTCAGATTCGTAAATATCTGTCAAAAGCTGCAGATTTGAGCCTCTCGCGGTTTTCAGTGAAGGAGCCCGTCTCCTGAATTGTCGGACTTTTGAATTAAATACCCTCAGTTTTGCGACTCACTACTCAGTCAATCAGCCGCCCGATCCGCCGTATATTGGAAGCACCTTATGGAATGAACACGACCCGGGTGGCAGGACCGAAGGCCGAGAGCACAGTTCTTGTGTTTCGGCGTGAACTACATCTACTCGGATGATGTAGAATTTCTGAATAAAATAGTATTCGAATGGCCAGGTCAAGATTCCAGAAGAGTGAC